TGTTGTAAATTTATAATGCTCTTAATTATATAAATTTCAATGTAGGAAACAAAGGTATTAAGTATTATAATAAATCACTTTCAAAATATGAAAACTAGACTTTCAAAGATGTATTTTATATTTTTAATGAAAGAGTATTATTAATTTGTGATTTTACAATATATGTGAATTTTAATATTATACTTCCTCCAATCCTTAATGTCCTTCCCATTTGAACTTTAGGAGAATTAAGAAAGAGATATCTTTGTCTTGACTTTCCAAAAATATTCTTAATGAGATGACTAAAAATAGGATATGATGGATTGACGGTAGATTATTAATAAAAATGTATGATGCAATAGGTAGAGTAAGAATCAGTAGGGATAAAAATAGTTTTTTAATGAAAAGAGAAAGGATTTTGTGGGACAAAGAAAAAAAGAAAAGAGAAAGAGTTTGTGGGATGAAGGGAGTATACTATGAAGTATTTTTTTATTTAATTTTAAAAATGTTGCGGTTTGATATGAATTTATTAGAATGCGACCCCATGGTTCAAAAGTTTTGGGTCCGCCACTGCTTGTTTGTCCAGATTTACTTGTTTACTTTCTTATTCTTGTTCCTCCCGAATTAATTCTCCATTTTTAATATTTAATAATCGAATAATGTTGAATTATAGAAAATATAGCCATCTAAAACAATTTTAACTTAAATGAGTGACAACCCTCACCCTCCTTTAAAGATTAGTACTTAGATAATTTTGCAAGTAAATCCGGATGGAGGGAGTGGTTTGGATGGATCAGAAAATGAATTATTGATATTATTTGACAGTTTAAAATTTTTAATGCAGAACAATGTTTTATATACTATTGATTTCTGCAGTATTTGTTTGTGGCCATTTGGCGAATTTTGAAATCTCTAGTGGTTTGTTTTTGGCCATTTGGTGAGTTTTGAACATTACTAGTGTCAAATTGATGTTTAGATTACTTGCACTAAGCAAATGCAACAAATGTACTTGTTCTCAAATTTCAGCAAGGTGCAGATAGGCAGCTCTGGTTTGCATCCAGGCAGAGTCTGAGCTACTTGGATGGCAGGTATTATCGTCTAACGGTCTCTTCCGATTGAGGTGGAGATTTGATTTAGTTTGTGTCTATATACATAAAATACAGTGCTTCGAAACACGAATCAAAATGATTCAAATGCTATACAGACAAATATATAAATAAGTGGTAAATCAAAATGACAGCCTCCCCGGAGACTATGGGTTTGACCCACTGGGACTCTCAGACCCTGAAGGTCAAGGAGGTTTCATGGAGCCAAAATGGCTAGCATACGGAGAGGTCATCAACGGTCGCTATGCCATGTTAGGGGCAGCGGGGGCCATAGCACCAGAAATTCTGGGGAAGGCCGGTCTTATCCCAGCTGAAACCGCCCTCCCATGGTTCCAATCCGGAGTCATCCCACCTGCAGGAGCATACAACTACTGGGCTGATCCGTACACGCTGTTTGTGTTTGAGTTGGCCCTGATGGGGTTCGCGGAGCACAGGAGATACCAAGACTGGGCAAACCCCGGGTCCATGGGAAAACAGTACTTCTTGGGGTTGGAGAAGGGGCTGGGAGGGTCGGGCGACCCGGCCTACCCTGGTGGCCCCATCTTCAACCCACTGGGGTTCGGGAAAGATGTGAAGTCTATGAAGGAGTTGAAGGTGAAGGAGATCAAGAATGGGAGGCTGGCCATGTTGGCTGTCTTGGGCTACTTCATCCAGGCTATGGTCACTGGAGTTGGACCTTTCCAGAACCTTCTGGATCATTTGGCTGATCCTGTCAACAATAACCTCTTCACCAACCTCAAATTACACTGAACTTAATTGATAATTAGTACTCCGTACTTATCATGTGTATATGGTTAGTTGTGTGACTTTGAACACCCCTTTATTCCTCTCCCGGTTCTTGTTGGAGCTTTCTGTATCAGTCTTTTATTGGACAAAAAAAAAAGATGATAAGCGAGTTTTGGAAGACAAAATGATATCCCCTCCCTCCCATAAAGGTTTTCCTATTATTGGTTACCATGGTTGGCTGAATTTAGTTTCAATTCAATTTATATGAGATTTTATATTTTTAAAATTTACAAGACAAGAGAAAGCACTAGATTTTCATTTGAAATGATTAATGAAATTAAGCAACTAAAGTGATTAACTTTTCACTTTGTGAACAAAAAAACATTTGTGAAAGAATAAAGTTAGTGTAATTCTAATATTTTGAAGTTATCATGACCCCAAATTGTTAACAAACACGCACAAACAATTATTATTTGTATGGCAGAGACCTTTACCTTTTGTGCATGTTTATGCAAAAATTGGGATTATGATAACTCTAAAATGTTGGGTTTACCAGAGCACGGCCCTTTATAGGACAAGAGTATAAAAGAATATGTCTACAACATTTTATATTTTAAGTTGAAAGTTTTTAAAACTTGACCATAAGTCAAGTTTTAAAACTGTTAGTTGTAGGGGTGTTAAATAAGTCAAGGTGACGTTAAGTCACTGTGTTTATAAACTACTTATCAAAACTGTTTGTATGTTATTTTTAATTTATAAGTCAGCCGATGACGTATTTTTTTATACTTATAAGCTACTTAAAAATAAATAAAATTAAGTAGATCTTACCTATTTATTTTTAATCCAATTTTTTCATTTTTTGTTTGGACCCAAATATTTTACAAAACTATCATTCACCTTTTATAAATATCCTCAATGAGTATGCACACAAAAACACCATTGAATATGTAATATATATTGTACAACCAATTCTAGGGTATTTTTCGTACATCCGTGGGGGTACCCATCTACGAGTAACTGAATACTCATTTTCAAGCAACTCAATATTCATTTTCAAGTAACTAAATACCTATTTTTCTAAATTTTGTTATATTCATTACTGAATATTCAAGTATTTGAAAATGAATATTCTATTAATAGAAAATGAATATTAAATTATTTGAAAATAGGTTAAGATGGTAGCAGAATTATAGTATAGGTATATTATCAACCTTCTAACTTCTAAGAGCATCTCCAACTCCATGTCTATATGGTAAAATATACTCCCTCCGTCCCGTTATATTCATCCACTTTTGACTTTTGGAACTGTTCATCGAAGCACGTTGGCTCATCAAATTCTCTCAATGTGTAAGCCTAAATATCGTCATGTGTGATCTTGTTTGGTTTGTCTTAACATATAGATTATTAATATATAATTTCTATAATTTTTTAATATACAAATTACAAGATAAAATGGATTAAAGAAGTGCATTGGATGGTGTGTAAAAATGAAAGTGGACAAATACTCTGGGACGGAGGGAGTACCATTTATACAATTTACTACTCGGGTATTCAATTTATTTCCTCCAAGGGGTAGGGTATACCTAATGCTACAAAACACTTTAGTGTAAAAATTCATTCACACCTCCTATATCTACACTATCACAGTAGACGGTGTATACCTTCTTGCTCTTTCACTCTTCTATCTTCTTTTCTTTATTTTCTCCTATTTGGCAATTTATTTCAATTTCTTCTTCCCAACCATCTCTCAATTTGCTCAAATTTTTTTCAAGCCAAAAGAGCTACTCTCTGTAACACATCTCTCTCAGGTAAAAAATTTCTCAAGAAGCCTAAAAGCCCTAAATTATTTAATTTTATCAAGAGAAGCTGCGTAGAAGATGTAGAAAATATGTGAAATGAGTCAATATTCAACCCCTTTTGTTCTAAAAGGCTGTAAAAAAAATTCTAATTTATCCTAAAAGATATTCTAACAAGATTTTTTTAATCAAAGATATAGATTTTCAGATAAGGAGTGTAGATATCCCATCTTGAAAAAAAACATATCTACAAAGGATATTTTAAAAAAATTAATATAAATTTATAAAGACCTTGATAGGATATTCTTTTAAATTTTATTCTAAACTATCCTAATAATAATTTAAATGTTAGATTTTAAATAATATTTTAAAAAATAATAATAGATTGATTGGATTATATACACAATAAATATGGTTATATTTAAACTATGAATTAAAAATAATTATTAAGAATAAGTAACTTAAAATAATAAAATATTATAAAATTGCATTATATAGAAGGTATGGTTGGATGGAGTAAAAAAAAATAGATGTGTAAAAACTGTTGATAGTGTAAAATAACTTTTACACTACCATAATATACCATACCCACTGTAGTTGCTATAAGGTGACCTCGAACAATTTCCTCATCCAAAAGCCATTACTCCCGGCCGGGCTTTCCGTGCGTCTTTCACCCCTCTTCTCCCTTGAGATATCACGCATCTTCCCATTCTAAGATATCAATCCTTAATCGATCGGATCTCTGCGCTAATCCGGTCATTTCAATTCCAGATCCATTTCCGGTAAGCAAATACATCGACGATACTGACAGAACGATCATTCTTAGAGCATCTCGATTATGAATTTGAGTTCAATTGGTTTTACTGAGTAAATGAGTGTTGCTATGCATATGCTTACTTATGCGGAGTACTAATGTATCTTATAACTGGACTGTAGAGGATTACTTCATGTCCAAAGACCAAAGTATAAATCTGTAGTTCTGGGAAATCGATTTGTTTCGATTTTTCATCATGTGAAGTTGATATTGCTTGATCTTAGAGCATTTTATATTCTAAATATCATTCCGATTATATATCTGCATGAGCCTGTCTATATAAGATATTATTATTATTATTATTTATCATTATTATTTTTTCTGTTGTTGTTGTATGGTTACAACTACATCTTTTCATGTTTGAGATCTCAGGGTGTAGGGTGATGTGAATTTACATCTCAGTTGATAATTTTAATTGATACAGAGTATAATTAGACAAGCCCACAGAGAAATGTATAAAATCTGTTTTTCAAAAACGATTTTTTTGTTAACACAATAGCTTACACTGCATAAAAAGAACATTTATGCAATGGTATGTCCACATCACGTATGAGAGAAGTTTCAATAGAACTCAATCCCATAGAAATTGAATTGAAATAGGGAGATGGAGAGGGAGGGATGGGGGATGGCAGATTCACTTTGTCTACTTTCTTTTTTACTTTTGGCATATTTCTTGGCTTTGGTTCTTGCATAATGAAAAGATTACAAACTTGCAGAATGATAATTTATTTAGTTCCACAAGTTCTTCTGTTGGGTTCTATTTCTTAACTTGTATGGTTGATTTTTCAATCAACTCTAAATCTTCCAATCATGTTCTAGAAATTCTTTGGTGTAATCGTTTAACCAAAGATGGTGTGCACTCTCATGCTTCTTATGTTCCTTTTTTGAGTGAACTGTGAAGATGAATCTTATGCTATGAATGTGCTTCTTATGTGCTCTTAAACTGTGAGCTGGTGGTCTCTTGGAAACGCCTTTCTACTTTCTAGCAGGGGCAAGGTTTACTTACACACCCTCCCCAGACCCTACTTTATGTGGGATTCAAGTGGGCTTGTTGTTGTTGGTTCTTGCATTAATGTATTATATAGAATTATACCATTCTCTAGTGGTTCTGATCTTGGATTATGCAGAATTAATAGTTTGCAGTACTACTTGTTGCTTTGATCCAACAGGGGCTCAAGTGACTGTCTGCTTCACACAGCAATGTCATCATCATTATTCTTTAGAAGGAGATACTGGGCTGCTTTATCATTTTTCATTTTCATTTCACATGCATGTCATGGGTTTTATTTGCCGGGAACGTACATGCATACATATTCACCTGGTGATGAAATCTTTGTCAAAGTGAACTCGTTGACCTCAATTGAGACTGAGCTTCCATTCAGCTACTATGATCTTCCTTATTGCAAACCCCAGACAGGAATTAAAAAAAGTGCCGAGAATCTTGGAGAGTTGTTGATGGGAGATCTTATTGAGAACTCTCCCTATCGTTTCCGTATGAATGTAAATGAGTCACTGTACCTCTGCACTACACCACCACTAAATGACCACCAGGTGAAGCTTTTGAAACAAAGGACTCGTGACCTTTATCAGGTGAACATGATTCTAGATAACTTGCCTGCTTTGAGATATGCTACTCAAAATGGGATGAAGATTCAATGGACAGGGTTCCCAGTTGGGTTCACATCACAAAACACTAATCAAGAGTACATCATTAACCACCTTAAGTTTAAGGTATTGATTCATGAGTATGAGGGGGCTGGGGTAGAAATTATTGGTACTGGAGAAGAAGGAATGGGTGTTATTACACAGACAGATAAGAAGGCTTCTGGTTATGAAATTGTTGGTTTTGAGGTGACCCCTTGCAGTGTAAAGTATGATCCTCTCAAGATGGAAAAACTCCATATGTATGACAAAGTTACTTCTATAAGCTGTCCATTGGATCTTGACAAATCTCAGATCATTAGGGAGCAGGAGAGGGTATCATTCACTTATGAAGTTGAATTTGTGAAAAGCGACATTAGATGGCCATCTCGATGGGATGCTTATTTGAAGATGGAAGGTTCTCGGGTTCACTGGTTCTCAATTCTTAACTCTGTAATGGTGATCGTCTTCTTAGCTGGCATTGTTTTTGTAATCTTTTTGAGGACAGTCAGAAGGGATCTAACGAGGTACGAGGAATTGGACAAAGAAGCTCAGGCGCAGATGAATGAGGAGCTTTCTGGCTGGAAGCTTGTGGTAGGCGATGTCTTCAGAGAACCAAATCATTCAAAACTGCTCTGTGTTATGGTTGCAGATGGGGTTCAGATTACTGGAATGGGAGCAGTAACTATTGTTTTTGCTGCCCTTGGTTTCATGTCACCAGCTTCTAGGGGCATGCTTCTAACTGGGATGATTCTGCTATATTTGTTCTTGGGAATTGCAGCTGGTTATGTTGGTGTCAGACTGTGGAGAACCATCAAAGGGACTTCTGAAGGGTGGAAATCAGTTTCTTGGGCAACTGCATGCTTCTTTCCAGGGATTGCGTTTGTTATTCTCACCGTTCTTAATATCATTCTTTGGGGAAGCAAGAGCACTGGTGCGATTCCCATTTCGCTGTATTTTGAACTATTAGCCCTCTGGTTTTGCATTTCTGTGCCTCTGACTCTAGTGGGAGGATACTTTGGGACAAGAGCTGAGCCTATCCAGTTCCCTGTGCGTACGAACCAGATTCCTAGGGAGATCCCAGAACGCAAATACCCATCGTGGCTTCTTGTTCTTGGTGCTGGAACCCTTCCGTTTGGAACTCTTTTCATCGAGCTTTTCTTTATACTCTCTAGCATCTGGTTTGGACGGTTCTATTATGTGTTTGGGTTTCTTCTCATTGTCCTCCTCCTGTTGGTGGTTGTCTGTGCGGAAGTCTCTGTCGTCCTCACTTATATGCATCTTTGTGTTGAGGACTGGATGTGGTGGTGGAAAGCATTCTACGCCTCAGGTTCTGTTGCCTTATATGTGTTCTTGTATTCTGTCAACTATCTCGTGTTTGACCTCCAGAGCCTGAGTGGGCCAGTCTCCGCCACACTTTATCTTGGATACTCTCTGTTGATGGCAGTTGCAATCATGCTTGCCACAGGCTCAATCGGGTTTGTAACATCTTTCTTCTTTGTCCATTACCTCTTCTCATCAGTGAAGATTGATTAGATAGCCATTGTTATTTGGTTGGTGGGTCGCTACAGAGAACTTCGTCCATGCATATTTGATGTTTTCTCATTCCCGCTTTTGTCTTACTCACGATTGCTCCGAAGGTCTTTCCCCTTTTATGTTTTTTTTGCACTTTTGTAGCAACCATGTGATTTAATCATAGTCTGTTCTTCTTGGTTATGTAATACTCGTATTTTTTTACAATTGAATCGGCTTAAGAAGACCTTTTGGATTCTGATCACTTCTCTGTTCCTTACGCCTCATAGCATTTCAATTGAACGGGGGAACTGAATTAGAGCTTCTCCCAAGTGTTCATATGATAGTTCTTGAAATTGAACGACGCACTATGGGCGAGCCAGTTATCTGGAGAAATTCATTTCTGCTTAGATCTTTAGTCGACTGATACAATGTGAAGTTCCATCTTTGGTACTTTGCACTTGTAGAGACTAATACTTAGCATGATTCTACAGTTGTCAAGATTTGGATTCAAGGCTTAACTTTTCTGGCACTCTGTATTACCCAGTTGAGCTTGAAGAAAACGTATTTGTTTGGATGAAGAAAAAAAGAAGAAGAGATAGAAGTAGTAAAATTTCTTTTCCTTGTTTGGCTAAGAGAAAAGTGAGAACGCAAAGAAAAAAATAATAAAATGAAATTATTTTTATGCCTTGTAATAAAGTAAAATTTTTTCAGTCCTGCAATATTTGTCCACTTTGGTTTTGACACAAAAACCGAGGCCAAGAGAATAAAAGGAGTAACTGACCTAAATGCCCGTCTTCTCCCCATTTATGCTGTTCTGCATAGTTAGCATGCCATCAGTTTAAGTGCAATTGAAAAGAAACCATTATCTATAAGAAAAAAAAGAATAAATTCCATAATTGGTCCTTTATAACAGGGGGGTTTCCCTATTTAGTCCTCTATTATCAAATATTATCCCAGTGGTCCTTCATTTATGGGTATCTTTCCATAAATAGTCCTTCTTTTGATCTTCAATCATGTTTGTGTTAATTTGAGGGCTAAAAGTGTAATTTCACAATGATAATATATCTTTTTTGTCGCACACAATTCCAAAGGTTGTTCCGTTTGCATCGTTTGTGAATTACAGTCACTTTCTACTACAACCATAGTCTACAAATGTGGTCTTTCGTCTGAATTCTAGTCCACAATCATAGTCATTATTTTTGTGTTATTCGCTTAACTAATATCAGAACACGTCACTAGACATAATGTTGATGTCAAATTATGCTTTTAGAGGACTAAATATGGAAACCCCCTGTTATAATGGACTAATTATGAAATTTACTCGAAAAAATAAGAAACAAGTTGTTGACAAAATAATGTGTACAAGTAAAATTGGACAGGATGTTTAAAAAAAACTTAGTATAAGGGCAATTTGACAGGACATTTGGAAAGAAATCATTTCATTCTTTGGTAGAGATGGCAATCCTACTGGAATTCGACCTTTGGCGGGAGATTAAAATATCTGTATCCAAACCGAAAAATTAAATATCCGAAACCGTACCGAAAATATTTAAACCGAACCTGACTCTTGTCGGGGTTGATTCGGATCGGTACATTTGATTGACCCGACATGTACTCGACCTGACCTGACCTATATCCAACTTTCAATAAGTTTTTAAAATTCCTATATTCCATGTATGCTTGATACACATGTTTTGAATGTTTTAAAACTTAATATATTTCTTTATATTTTATTTTTTTATTGTGGATAAATCTTGTGTGTCACCCCTATGTTATTTTTTGTACTCCGTATATTATTAGTTGAAATTTATTATTTAATTTTTTGAGTGTCACTCGATTTTAACTATTTTTGTTAATATCTTAAATTTTATGTCGTCTTTAAAATTTTAATTTTTTAGTGTATTTCAATCTAAAAAATTCATGAACACTTATATTAGTATTCAAACCCAGATTTGACCGTAACCGACCTAACCGAACCTTAAACTGAGTCCGAACCAAAAATAAATATCTGAAAACGACCCGTCGAAATTAAACCCGAACCTGGCTTAATTCGGGTCAGATTTCAATATACTCAAACTCGATCGAACCCGATTTGTTTCCATCCCTATTCTTGAGCCAACTAGTGTAAAAAGTTTACCCTCCAAAATTTTGCATAACGGCATAACTCCCCTGCTCAAGAGGGGTGCCACAAAAGTTTAATTTAAGCACAAATGCTGACAACAGCGAAAAAGAATGATTATGCCGTTCATGCTAAGCATGAAATTCTTGCATGTAACAGGGATAAATTCTCATTCTTTTTCTACCAGACTGAAATTATTGCTCATTTTAACTTTTTTCAACCTATTATCCCGCCCAGGAAGACTGGGGTGTAACTTTTTTCTGAATGAAAAAGGAAAAATTGATTGGCAGTGTTTATTTAAACGGCCCGGTTCCATGGCCACTGGAATCCAGTGGCCACGGAAGTCACTGCCCCCTTACAGAGTTCCGTTCATAAAATTGATGATTCCTACACTCCTAACCCTCCAGTAAACCCCCCGCCAAGTCCCGACCCAAACTCATCACCCCCACCTACGTCAATTGCACCTCGTAAGCATAAAGTCTAAACTTTTGATTTTAAAGTCAATTATACTTACGAGGTGCAATTGACGTAGGTGAGGGATGAGTTTGGGTTGGGACTTGGCGTGGGGTTTACAAGGGAGGTTAGGAGATATGAATCATCAATTTTATGAACGGAACTCCGTAGGGGCAGTAGCTTTCGTGGCCAGGCCACTGGAATCCAGTGATGGAATGCGGCCGTTATTTAATTACGGATGACGTATCAAATACTCCCTCCGTCCCTGAGTGTTTGTCCACTTTCATTTTTGCACACCATCCAATGCACTTCTTTAATCAATTTTATCTTGTAATTTGTATATTAAAAAATTATAAAAATTATATATTAATAATCTATATGTTAAGATGAATCAAACAAGATCACACATGACTATTTTTAGGTTTACATATTGAAAGAATTTGATGAGTCAAAGTGCTTAGATGAACAGTTCCAAAAGTCAAAAGTGGACAAACACTCAGGGACGGACAAAGTAAAATGAAATTTGTTTAATTTTCAAACTAGCCGTTGCCGAAAGAGCTAAGACCTCCTCCTTGCTCCAAGCCTCTAACGCTCTCCTCTCCCACGCTGTTAATAATTCTTCACACGCTTCTCTCTCCTCTCTCTCTCTCTCTCTCTCTCTCTCTCTCTGACTGTGTGCGTCTAAGGAAAAAAACCCATTCAAGAATGATGTTCACAGAGGGATTGGATGAGTCTGCAATAAGCTGGATCAAACAGGTGCACCAGAACTACAGCTCTCCCTAATTTCTGTATTCATCAAGCAAACCCTTACATGTTCTTGATTTTTTTTTAAAATTCTTGTCATGTTATGTTGTCTTTTTCTGGGTCATATTCTTCAGGGGCCATGCCATCCTCTCAATTCTTTGAATTAAAGCTCGGATTTTTATATGTGCAGGGTTGTGATGTTAAGAAATCTGAGAATAGATCGCCCTTAAGTGAAAATTACCCACTCCCTAAGTCCCCATTAGCGTACAGTGGGTCACTACATGATTTGCCGCCCTTGAAATTCTACTCGGGATTCTTGGGAGTATCTCCCACTGTTGTAGCTTTAAGCCCGGACAGATATGAAGATGAGTATGAAGACTATGACAGCGAGAGCGTGGGTTCTGGCCCAGAGGAGACTGGTTTGCATCACTTGGACGAAGAGATGCTTAATTTGAAGTCCGAAATAGAATCAAATGGAGAATTGGGCATTAGACCTAATTTGATCAAAGGGGTTTCAAAGGAGAATCTTCGGATCGAAGTGCCCGGTAATGGCCGGAGATTCACTGATGTTCAATCTGTGTTTGGGGTTTCAAACATCCTGCTAAGAGGGAATACTCAACCCCGTAGTGCCTATGTAAGACAACAATTGAGATTTCAATTTTGCACTTTATCCATCTATCCATCATCCCTTAGGAACAAAGAAATAAAAAGTTTAGAGATTTTACTCTTATGATTTATTGGACTGCTATTTATATCTAATGCAGGCTACACCAATAGGGAAGCTTGTTGATGAGTTGGGAACCCCAAGTGCCCCTCCCGTTGTTGATATTGGAGGAGCACAACAAGCCGACCACTCTGAAGTTGCAGATACATCTAATGGGATGGCAGGAATTGAAGATGTTTTTACTGGTGAAATGGAAAACTCAAATGATAGTAGTATAGAAGGATACCATACTCATGCTGGAACTTTCAGTGGGTATGACTGTTTTTGGCCATTACAAATTGAGAGAGTGGCTTCCCCATCTTTTTCTCTATCACTCTGTTTGGTTGGAGGAATTCAGGGGGAAAGAGAAATGAAGATAATAAGAAAAAGAAAGTTTGGTGTTTGGTAATAAATGAAAAGAAAAGAAATAGAGAGAAAATGTAAACTTAAAAGGGCAAGGTGATTTCCCTTCCACTGTTGTGAGGAAGAGAGAAAACACCAAACTCCTCCTTCATTCTGCCCCCCAGCTGCCACCCCCTATCCCAACACCCCCCTGCCACTGCCCACCCCCCATTGTCTCTTGC